CCTGTAATTAACAGACATGACTTGGATGAAGATCTATCAAAGGAAACTAAGAAGGAATGGTCAGAGAGTTAGGAGAGAACTAGGAAAGATTGGTGCCTTGAAGGACTAGGGAGAAGGGAGTATTAGTATGAATAATAATAGTAGCTAACATCATTATTATTTCATTTGATCCTCACAACAACCCTGGGAGGTAGGTACTGTTATTATCCCCATTTTACAGATGAGGAAATTGTGGCAGACGAAAATGAAGTGACTATAGCTAGAAGTGTCTGAGGTCACATTTGAACTCAGGTCTTCCTGACTTGAGGCCTGGAGTTCTATCCGCTATGCCATCTAGCTGCAGAGAAGAGAGTGATCTATAGAAGTAGTTTTAAACTAAAATGTAAACAGGGGCTATCAACAGTAACAGTAATAGTAATGATAATAGCTAATATTTATATAGCACCTAATATGCGTCAGGCACTGTGCTAAGCGCTTTACAATTATTATTTCATTTCATCTTCATAACAACCCTGGGATGTAGTTGCTGATATTATCTCCATTTTACAGATGAGAAAACTGAAGCAAACAGAGAGGTTAAGTGAAGTCATTTAAGTCCAGGGTCACACAGCTAGTATCTGAGCCTCTTCCAGCTCTTCCAGACTCCAAATCCAGCACTCTTCACTGTTCCACTTAGCTGCTTCTATAAAGTATAAAGTTGGTCTTAGGATCAGGAAGACCTGGGTTCAAGTCCCACCTCTGAAAAAATAATAGCTATGGGACTCTGAGCAAATAATGGTGACCTCTGAATGGCTCAGGAAATGCTCTAAAAACTTTAGGTTGCAGAACAATTTGGATCCGTTTTAAATCATACATAGGGATCCCGGCAGGCCACATGTTGGCTTAGAAAACCACATATTATTAATATCATCTATATTCTGTAGTATTTATATTTATTTTATTAATATTTCTCAGTTACAGCTGAATTTGTTTTGGGCTGTTTGGGCATGTTGCAGCCAGCAGCAGATGTTAGATAACTTTGATCTAGTGTTAGTGACATCAGGGAAGTCAAGAAGGAGTATTTCTGAGAAATGACTTAACACTTAAGAAAGATTGCTAACTTTGGAGAGAGCAATTTCAGTCAAATGATGAAGTCAGAAGCCAAATTATAGGAAGTTAAGAAGAGGGTGAGAGGAACAGAAATGGAAGCAAAAATTGTCACAGCCTTCCCAAGCAGTATAGTCACTGAGGTAAGGAGAGATACAGAACAATAAACTAATGGATTAGGTAAGAGGTTTTTTGTTTGTTTTTTAAGAATAGAAAAAATAGAGGTATCTTTGTAGGCCGTAGGTTAACATCAGAGAAATTGAAGATTAGTGAGAAAGTAGGGATGATGGAGGGGGTCAGTCTGTTGAAGAAAACAATGGATTAGGATCACCTGTGCATGTGCAGATGTTTATCTTAGCAAGGAGAATGGCTACCTCTTCATCTGAGGCAGGACTGAAGGAGATGGTAGGGGGAGACATATGAGTGAAGCCCCAAATTAGTAAAAACTCTGACAGCATAAGTTGTAGATAAAAAGGAACATGAGGTAGACAGTAAGGAATGGGCTTAAGGTGCAGATAGCCTGCATTTTATACTGCTATGCTTTCAGAATGTCTATATGGCACGTGGGAAAGAAGGTGAAAAGTAGATAATTCAAATCCTGACTCTCCCTGCTGTCTGACTCTTCGTGACACCATGTATCCCATAGCATGCCAGGTCCTTCTATCCTCCACTATCTCTCGATGTCAGTCCAAGTTCATGTTAGTTGTTTCCATGATACTATCTATCCATCTCATCTTCTGCCATCCCCTTTTCCTTTTACCTTCAATCTTTCCCAGCATCAGGGTGTGACTCTACCAGGTACTGGCAGCATACCCTTCAGAAAGTCTCTTAAATTCCTCTGAATCTGTTTTCCTTATCTATAAAATAAGAAGGTTGAACTAAGTGATATCTAAGCTCCCTTTCATTGTTGAATTATGATGATCCTAGGAAGTATTCCTTGCGCAAATGAACCTCACAAAGTTTAATGTATGAGTGGCACTCAGTAAAGGTGTTTTTTAATCCACTCTGCTATCCAATTCCATTTTATGGGTGAGTTCATCCCATTCACATTCACAGTTATGATTACTGTGTATTTCCTTTCATCCTATTTTCCCTCCTGTTTATCGTTCTCTCTTTTCACCCTTTCCCTCCACATCAGTGTTCTGCTTATGACCACAAGTTTGTCCTCCCTTCTGTCAGTCTCCCCCCCACACACACACTTTTCTTAGTCTCTTCCCTTCCTGCTTCCTATGGGGTAAGATAGATTTCTATACCCAACTGATTGTGTATGTTATTCCTGCTTTAAGCCAGTAAAGTTCAAGCAATGCCCAGCGCCACCCCCTCCATCTTCCCCTCCATTGTAATTGGTCTTTTGCACTTCTTCACATAAGATAATTTACCTTGTTCTGCTTCTCCTTTCCTTCTGTTTCCAATGCAATGTATACTCCTTCTAATTGCAATAATAGTGATATAGTTTTACAAGTATGATCTTCCTGTGTAAGATGCAAACATTTTAGCCTTATTGAATCTTTTAGGTTTTCTCTTTCCTTTTTACCTTTTTAACACTTCTCTTGAAACTTGTATTTGAAAATAAATATTTTTGTTCAACTCTTGCCTTTTCATCAGGAAAGCTTGAAAGTCCTGTATTTCATTGTATGACCTTTTTTCCCCTGAAGCATTATACTCAGTTTCATTGGGTAGGTGATTCTTGGTTGTAATCCTAGCTTTTTTGTGTTTCAGAATATCATATTCCATGATCTCCAATCTTTAATGTAGAAGCTGCTAAATCTATATATTCCTGGCTGTGGTTCCACAATATTTGAATTGTTTCTTTTTTAGCTGCTTACAATATGTTCTTCTTGTCCTGGGATTTCTGGAATTTGGCTATAATGTTCCTGGGAGTTTTCATTTGGGGATCTCTATCAGGAAGTAATCAGTGGATTTTTTTTATGTCTATTTTACCCTTTGTTTCTAGAGTATCAGGGCAGTTTTCTTTGATAATTTCTTCAAGTATGGTGTCCAGGTTATTTTTTTGATCATGGATTTCAGATAGTCCAAGAATTCTTAAATTATCTCTCTTGGATCTGTTTTCCAGGTAAGTTGTTTTTCCAATGAGATATTTCACATCTTTTTTTTTCCATTCTTTTGATTTTGTTTGTTTCTTGATGTCTCATGGAGTCTTTAACATCCACTTGTCCAATTCTGATTTTTAAGGAGTTATTTTCTTCAGTTAGCTTTTTTACCTCATTTTCAATATATTTGCCCAATTCTTCTTTTTAAGGGGTTATTCTCTTCAGTGAATTTTTTGTACAACTTTTCCCATTTTTTGTGCTTGCTTAATGAAGCTGTTGACTCATTTTTCATGATTCTCTTACATCATTCTAATTTCTTTTCCAAATTTTTCTCCCACCTCTCTTATTTGATTTTTAAAATCCTTTTTGAGCTCTTCACCCTGTCTTTTTGTTTGTCCTGCCACTGCAGAATTTGTTTTAAGCACTATTTTATAGTTGTTTGGAGGTGAATTTAAGACAGTTCAAGTGATTTCCTACATATTCCATCTTGGCTTCAGCACTAAATAAAGGTGTTGAATAAAATGATATAATAGTCACTTTTATATACAACTATAATATTTGGCTTTAATCTTTTAGATTGTAAGCTCTTTGAGGGCTTCCCCATGTTTACTTGATTGGATTGGTTCAATCATTTCTTCAACAAACATTTATCAGTCACTATCTAAGTGCAGAGCACTGTGTTAGGTACTGTTGACTGATCAGAAATAAAATTCCATGTAGACAGGAATATTAAAATTCTGTTAACTAAACCCACAAAGAGAAGCTTTTTGAATGCAGCTATAGAATTTCTAATTTGTTCGTGGATGTTTCTCCTATTCACATTGACTTCAGAGTCAGAACCGTATAATAATGTAATAGAGAAATAGGTGGTGTGGAGAGTTGTAGAAACTCTGGCAATTTGTTTGACCGAACCTGTTTGGGAATAAGATACAGCAAATCAAAAGAATTCTGAACAAAGAATTTCATTTCTTAATCACGTTGAAGTATTCACTAAAGTGCCAACAAAGCAAACTAAGAGGAGGAAAAGATCCAAAAAGGCATTCTCTCTCAACTTAATTTTAATTATTTTTCTTTAATGTTTTATTTATGCCTTTTATGTTCTTAGCATCACTCTCAATTCCCAATAAAACTCTCCCTCTTGTAACAAAGTACAATTAAGCAAAACAAACCAAAACATTGATTTTGTTTAACAGTGTGTGTTTCGTTGCACTCCCATACCTCTCTATGTAGAGGAAGGAGATATGTTTTATTATCAGTTCTTTGTGGTCAAGACTGTTCATTGCATTGAATGAAATTCTGATGTCTCTCAAGGTTGTTTTCATTTACGCTATTATATTCAGTGATAACTTCAATGAAGTGGCTGTATCTCACAGCATTTACAGAACAAATTTCTTGGTAACTTCATCATTATCCAGTCATAAATGCATATTTTGGATGGGTAACCAGTGAAGCCCAGGCACACTCATCTTATTTTTTTCTGTTGTCTCTTTCATAATATTTCTCTATCTTTCACAGCACTATGAAATAATAACTCACTCCAAAATTTCAAGAAAAATTACATTGTTAAAGGGGAGAAAGCAAATGGATTCACAGTTAAATAACTAAGAAAAAAATTATTAAGGCTTTATCCAACCTAGAATGGTTTCTTCTTGGTAGCAAAAAAAAATTGAACTGAGGTAAAATAATTTTAAAAGGTTGTGATGTTATCAGTAGAGGGAATCCTGAAACTAATGAAATCACAGAAATTTCCAGGTACCGTAGCAATGCAAGGTGGTTATCACTACAACTTGGAAAGATTCTCATCATCTGCTTAGATGATGTATGATAATTAATATTGTGTGTATGTGGTTTTTTTTAATTTAGGAACCTTTCACAACATTCTTTCTTAATGCAAATGATGGAAAATTTGACCATCCAGATAGAACCTTCTCATCAGTTGCAAGATCTTGGAGAACAAGCCAAAGAGATACATCAGATGTAAAGGTAAGCTTTAGGGAGGTTAGGGACTACAGGATATTTTTTTCCTGCATTGCAGATACTGAAACCTAAATTATGTGCTTTCAATATTGATATTTCTTTTTTTTTTAAATGAGAATAAGGAAAATTTTACATTTCATTCTCCACACATTACCATAATTTTTAAAGAATATACTATACATCTAAACTTATGAAAATAATCTTATGTATGATAGAAAATGATTAAAGGTTCTTTTTTATTCTGTGGTTAAGGTGTTTTGTTCTTTAAAAAAATCCAATCTAATTTAGATCAAATAATCAGGAGATGGAGAAAAGCCCAATAAATTGCTCTTTCCTGCTGTTAATTCAATATTTGGTCTATTCCATAAAACACAGCAGGAATTGGATTTGACCTTAAAGTGTCATATTGTTATAGCTTGCCCAGTCCTGGGTTTGCATAGCCTGGGGCAATTAATAAAGCATTAATGACAAGACCCATTTAAAATGTAGGCTTTTCTGTACGACTTTAGCTTTTACTTGACTGTGCCTGGGGATATTATGCAACAATATGCATTAGATTAAACCAACATACACACAATATACAGAAACCCCCGAAAGCAGAGTAATTTTACAGTCGTTATTACTTACCTATTGTTAAATACAAAGGTTTATTGTACATTTACATGGGATCTTATAAAAAAAATCATTCAGGATTCTGAACAATAAAATCTTTAACTTATTCTCATGGTTCTTATTTTCACTGGCAGTAAGGCTACATGATCAGATTTGTACACAAGTTTAGGGCTTAAAAGGCACACCTAATTTTAAGGCAAATTTATTTCATTACGGTGTTATTATAGAATATAAAATTTTGATGTTATAAAACATTTTAAACTCTGATTTAAACCAAAAAAACATAGTCAAAGTTGCCTTTTACTTCTTTTATTTGTGGATACTCTGCAAAACACCTCAGAAAGACAACTGCTCTGCCACTTAGGTATAGGAGGATTTTATAAAGGTAGAACAGCAATCTAGACTTTTTTTCTCAAGGAAAAAACATCATAATCCTATATCTAAGGATGAAGCATGTAGATTTTATTCCTATCAGTAGGCATTTTCTCAAGTATTAATATATAAACAATGTACAAGCATGATTAGGAAAGATAAGAAAACCTAAAGTATCTCCCAGATTTTTGAAACTCTGAAAGCTTACATTTTTCTTCCAGCAATGTAATCTTTCACTGAAAGTTGACCTGAAGATTTAAAGAATCTTTTTTTTCTCTTGAAGTTTAACCTTTTTTTGTGCCATGGATTCCTTTGTCTGGTGAAGCCTATGGACCCCTTCTCAGAATAATATTTTTAAATTCATGAAATAAAATACATAGAATTACAAAAGGAACTAGGTATATAGAAATACAGCTATCAAAATGTTTTTAAAAATAAGTTCACAGTCTTTAGGTTAAAAACCTTTGCCCCATGGCATATAACAACAACCATATCCTTTATTTGAATGGCTTTCCCTCCCCCACTCTACACTCCTACCGTGAACTCTCTAGTGGGGATGAACACTCCTAATACTTTCAGCCACAGTATGGAAATGACTTGAGACTTGTGAAGTGGAAAATTCCAGGAGATATAAATTAAAGACTGATATTTGGACTGAGTATCTCTGTATAAGTGTGTAACACTTTTCTCAAGGGCTTCTGACTTCAAGCTTAGTACCCTTTTCTGCCATCCCATACTAAGAACTGGTTTCCTACCCCAGTTCTGAGAAAATCAAAAAACTATTGAGACAAACAGCCCAGAAATAAGATTTACAACAAATGTATTCTGTTGTGCTAAAATAGGTTTTATGAATTATAGGCTTTTTGAGGGCAGAAACTGTCTTTTGTCTCATTTTGATCCATAGTGCTCAACAAAGTGCCTGGCACATAGTAGGCACTTAATGAATGTTTATTGGTTGACTGACATTACAGTGTGTAAGCAATAAAAATTAAAAGCAAATCTCAAAGAGTTTTTGGAAAATAGCTCCACGTTTTTGCAAAAAAAAAAATTATAAAGGTGAAATAGCAAAATTATTTTTGTTGAACTTCAATTGTATTGTTAAAATTTTTATTTTAGTTGGGCTAAAAGATAATTGGGATTATAAGTGGACATGATTTAACTGACTCTTCAGTCCTGTCTTGGGAAAAGTGGCTTGCAAATCGAGTGATCAACAAGCATTTATTCAGTGCCTACTGTGTGCTAGATACAATGGTAGGCACTGGCGATACAAAGAAAGAAAATGAACAGTCCGTGCCATACACAGGGCTCAAAGGGACAATGTGTGTACACATAAGAATGTACAGAATAAGAGTATTCAAGTGTAAGAGGCTTAATCAGGAAAGGCTTCGTGGAGTAGATGGCATTTGAAGTGAGTTTTGAAGGAAATCTAAGAGGTGAAGAGGGAGTATATGGCCAGGTATAGGGGACAGCATGGGGAAAAGCATGGCAACACAGGAATGGAATTCATGTGTGAAGAAGCAGCAGGATAGTTTGGCTCTGTTGTAGTATGAGTAGAAGATATTTTCTAAAAAGTCTAGAAAGGCAGGATAGAATCAGATTGTAAAGGGCTTTAAATACCAAACATAGTAGTTTGTATTTGTTATAAAGGTAATTAGGAGTCCCTAGAATTTACCAATCAGGGGAACCTGTGCTTTAGGAATGTCACTTGGGTATGGAGAACAGATTGGTGCAGGGAGAGACTTGAGGCACGGAGACTAATTAGGAAGCTACCCCAGTAGGCTGGTTAAGAAGTCAGGAGGATGTGAACTGGGTTAGTGGCTCTATAAGTGCAAAAAAGATTGTTAAAGCCAATTTATTTTATTTTTACAACTAAAACCTGACTAAAGTGTTTCAGTGTTCCCCGATCTTTACCAGTTTCCTGCTTAGGTTAAGACCTTTGTACTGCCTGGACAGAATTGATGAACAGGCTAGCTATTTGTCCAGTAGCTTCACCCAGATATTTTATACCAGAATTAACACTGAGTCACAGCTCAAAACTAACATTATAAAAATTGGTTTTTATTTTACAGGGGGATTATAATGAAGAATCCCAATCTAATTCTGGTGAAATAGAAATAGTGTTAACCTGTCCTATTATACTGAAATAGGCATAGCAAGGATAAAACAAGGATTTTTATAAAGGAGGTGGGATATGTATTAAGGGCACTTTACAAATGGTCTAAATTCTTATCCTGTTTCTCTGATTAAACTGTAGTATCTTTCATTTCATGAACAGTAGAACTTGTTAATAATGTATAATGGGTATTATAATAAATATTAATTGTTTTTAAAATTAATAGCAATAATAGTTTGATCAGACACATTTCTTTCTTTTTTAGTAACATAGAAATATAGACTAGTAGAGCTTGCAAGGGTGTTTGCATTTGAAATTCTGGTTTATAACTCAGCGCATATTCAATTCAGCATATATATGTGATATAAGGTTTACTGTTGTGCTATAAGAAATGATAAAGGGAATGGTTTCGGAGAAACCTGGGAAGACTTGTGTGAACTGACACCAAGTGAAGTGAACAGAACCAAGAGAACAATTTATATAATAACAATAAGGTAAAGCAACTTTAAGACTTAGAAACTCTGATCGGCATAATGATCAATCACAATTCCAAAGGATTAATGATGAAACATGCTACCCATCTCCTGATTGGTGACTCATAGTACAGTCTCATGTAATCACATATACATCAAAGTATAGACCATGTATATTAAATATAGAGATATATACACACATACATATATGTGTATATATATACATACTTACACACATGTATATATAGTTATATACATTCTACATATATTTATGTTTCAAACATAGTAAATGCAGAAATTTGCCCTGCTTGTCTATACATGTGTTTAACAATTTTTTCCAAACCTAAATTGGGAGGAGAGGACAGCTTTGCTAATTGAAAAAAAAAAAATGAAATTTTATTTAAAAAATTTTAATTGAAGACCTTTATGTGCAAAAATTTAGAAGATATTACTTGAACATGTTCCATTTAAATGTCAGAGTGAACGTATTTGAATACTCCAGTTATCTTTGTGTTATTTTTATATAAAAGTGTTTTCAGAACTAAGATGCAAATCATAGAGCAATAACATATAGTCTGTGCCCCACACTGCTGAAGCTTATGAAAAGAATGACTGAATTCATTCAAACATAATCAATTCAAAACCAATTCCTAGTCAATTGACAACATAGTTTCCCAAATAACTAGATGTATTACTAAACTGAAATTTTAATTTTTCTAAATTCCTTTGTGTGTATAAACACACACTACATTAATATTAACTTGTTTCTGTCTTGGTCTTTATTAAGCATACATAGTAAACAAGAATTCCTTTACTTGTTTTCACTAACATATTAAAATACATTTTCTTAGATCATTTACAAATGAAAGCATTCATTTCCTGTCTTGATTTGAACTCGATCAATAGAGCATATATTTTTATTAGCCTGGTAATACACAAGGGAAAAGTGGTGTGAAATAGATAGTTTTATTGTATCTTTATTAATGTCAGCCTTCTCCTATGGTAATGAGTACAAGTTGGGTAAAGGATATGTTTTAGTAAAGTGACCTTTCCAGATACAAGTTTTCCAGAAATAGCCTTAGTTTGACCAGTTAGCTTTCAAACATTTACTCCTCCCCCTTCTAGGACAGTTTCTGATAGCATTGAAATCCAAATAACTTATAACTTGCACTAATATTTTCTAATGCCTCACAAACTTATTATGCTACTTTTCAATAGCTGTGTAGATGTCAGAAGAGGTAGCAGTGACAAAATGTCATTAGGGTGACATAGTATAAATTCATACAGTTAATGGAGGTGCTCACCACTGGCTCATTGACCCATAATGAGGCTCTTGCAGAATTAATGGATGCCCTGGGATTAATCTTTTGGAAAAGGGAAAGAAAAAAAGATGGCAGCTTTAAAGCCTTTCTGTGAATTATATTAGAAAACTGAAA